GGGGGGGGATCAAGGGCGCATTCTGCGAGCTGTCGAATCACAGTTACGTCCCCCTGCAATTGTGCATGACCTTTTGCTAGTGACGTCGACTTCCGTCTCTTCTTTGACCCTTGACCTTTCACCTGGCCACCCGTGGTTTAGTGATTACCGGGCTTTGTTCTTGTGTGTGGTCTTCTCCCCATGGGTCTGTACATAGCTTTTTTTCTCTTTGCCCCCCCCCCCCCTTCCCCGACCCCCTTTTTTTCCTCATTGTCTGATGTCTCCCATTCTCTTTCGCGGAAAGTCATCCTGAGCAAACAAAACTGTATTCCTTACTTTTTGCTCTCTCTATATCATATGTCTCCCCCTCTAATTTATTCTTTCTTCATCCACCTATCACTTGAACTCTCTTTCTCTCTCCCTCTCTCTCCCTCCATTTTTGACGTTAAGTTCGGAAATCCCACCTCTTATATGACCTTAGGTTGTCAATTGGGTCGTTAGATCCCATGATCAACGTCATGCATAGTCGCACCTTTTCTTTTTCCACCACTTCTGTACATTTTTTAGGGTAGAAGTAAAATTTCGACCTCCGTTCTTAAAATTATAAAGCGGAAAACGTCTTTTGCGCATGCCGCCTTGGCGATCCGAAATGAGGCCCTGCTGAGAGTTGAGAGAGAACCTGGATATGCGCACTAGATTAAGCAAGAACGTTCCGAATGGAGGGCTAAAGTTTACTTTTACCGCTTTGAGATTACCATGTGTTTGAGCGGCGATAATCCCAGGGTCCTCTGCGTCGTCAGCCGGGATGTTTGAGGAGTGGGCGTGGTCCTCCTTATCGTCATCGTCGTTGTGGCTGTTCTTGTCGTTTTTGTTTCTGCTTTGGTCGTCGTTTCTGTTTCTGCTTTGGTCGCCGTTGGTTTTCCTTGCCTTTGTGACCCAGATTGGTTGGGTTCTGTAAGTAGAAGAGAAGACTGCGTGGTGAGAATTTTGGTAGTGAATGTTGAGTGGGTAGTTACTTAGTTAGTGACTGTCATTGTTTTGGTAAGCTTCTCATTACTGGAACTAAGTTATTTATATTTTATTCGAAGAGCTAACGGGAAGGTGGGGAGAGGTAAAGAGAGAGAGAG